TTTGCGATTTGGACATGTGATATATATTTAATATAAATAAACTCTGAATGAACAGGGCTCTGTAGCAGCGGCAGCTTGGACTCATCAACCTAAGTGACATTGTCGATCATGACAACAGCGAGTTCACAACATGGCAGCGACAACTGATTGCCCAGTTCGGTTCTCTGCATATTTATTCGAGCTGCACCGGAACTGGCAAAGCAAACACCCTTTTCCTTACTGCACTCGTGATAATAAATACAGTGTAAGGTTTTGGAAGAGCAATGCAAAAGAAACTGGATACTGCGGAATTTCGTATCACCTGTGTTCTGTATTGTCTGTTACTTAATAACAAATTAATAGAGAATCAATTACTCATGGATATCCACATTTATTCCTGATTTTTTTTTTTTATTGTTTCATCTCCTTGGAGGGATATTATTTCTGTAACCTTATCATTCTGCTTATCTTTTTTCCTCCCATCTCCTCTCTTTGTATACTTCCATCCTCTCCCCTCCTCTTACTTTCCCCTGGTTTCTATTCTGTATCGATTTTGGATGTACAGTATAAATGAATTTTGTCTGCGATAAATTTATGGGGCCCTCTAAGCATTCATAAATGTATCCTTCTCCATCTTCTCCTTTCCTAAATATCCGCTCCTCTGAGATACTCTGTGGAGCTTTGCATGTCTTCACCAATGCCAATATTTGAACCGCGCAAAGCCTGAGAATACGACATATTAAGCCTGGCCTGCACGCACCAACACACGCACAAGCACACACAGACACACACTAAGCACTCAGGGGGAATGAAACAATATAACATAATAATCGGGGGTGGCTGCAGTGTGTTTCCCCCCCCCCCTAAAATCTGTGCCTCAGGCCTTTCCATTATTGTAATGCCTTACGCTTGCTATTTGCTGTGTGCTAGTAACCATATGTGCGTGTGTGTGTGTGTGTTTATGTGACTTATAGTAATTCTGCATCTCAAAGGAACTGATGTTATTACTTCTAGCTGAGTTGATGGGTGTGAACGCATCACACAATAACACACGCATGCATTTTGAACATGGCAAAATATTTCTTCTTCTTACATTCATGGTGCCTGTGGCTTTGTGAACTTTTGCTATGAGACTCACCTCTGACTGAGAGGGATTTTGTTGCAATTACAGATTTCCCCGGTGGCGTCAAATACGCCAATTTACACACACAATGATGAAAAGAATGAAGTGCAAAAATTATGAAGAATTAGAGAGAGTAGCAAATGAAAAAAGCTTTTTTTCTTATTTTTGCATAATATCTTCCCTTTTTAAAGAACCCTTTACAGAGAAAAACATCAATACATTAAGAAGACAAACAATATTTGTGATGATGATAATATGCAAATTATATGATATATATTAGAATACATGTTAAAATGACACATTGGACATTTAACTGCTGGAGTGAATGGTGAGAGCAGCACAATCGATAGAATTGGCGAATAAGCTTCCTGTTGTCAAACAAGCAATTCTAAATTTACCTGATGTCACTCGTCAGCTGTGTTCATCCTTATATCGCCTCCATTATACATGTAATTGTCAACAGCGAGAAAGAAATGAAGTGCAGAGAGCTGAATCATATTTTCCCGCAGCTACAATTATTAAAATATATTTATTTATAAAAAGTAATTATCACTGCATCTTTCATCTTCTCAGACAAAGTACAAAAACATATTTTCACACTTTGTTGTATGAGAACTTTGAAAACATGAAATTTCTCAGGCTCTGCAAACGCACCGGAGACAGAGTGAGTATTGTTTCCATGGAAACCATGCTGGTGCCCAATAATTTGATAATTAATCAAGATGGTGATCGAAAGGAAGCATCTGTACACAACTTAACAAAAACAAATGCCAGCAATCATCTGCTATCTGTATCAGGTATATATTTCACACTGTCTATGGTTTATTGAATGATTTCATGTAGATCATGTGGAGAACGGATTTTATCTTCATTTTAGCACATCAAAATATACACATGCCAGTACTACTCAAAGAAAGGTGTTGTATAATTCAAATAATTGAATAACCAAAGCAAAAGAAATGAGAGCGCAGTTGAAGAGAGTTAATGAATAAGTAAAAGGAAAATGATGGTAAAATTAGATCAGTGTCCCTAAAGGAATCACAATCGAGTACCCTCTATTAACGCACAATGAGACACATACGCGCACATGCACACGCACATGCACACGCACACGCACACGCACAGTTTGATCTACAGTGGTGTCTCACAGGCCTTATTTTCCCTTTAGTTTCATCTTCTGTCTCTATGTTCTGAAATGACAGAAGTTTTCTCAGAGAGCAGGACGTTTTACGCAGGTCTCAGGTCGACAGCCTCGGGACAAGTTCATGGCGTCACACACACAAAGACCACACATCAATAGACACACAATTTGCATGTGTGAAAAATCTGCTATGTGGACGTCATCTGCCTGTTGGAGGTTTGTCTCCATGTTATTTCAAACCTGAGCGGAAGCTTCAAACTAAGGTGGATACAATAGTACCACCTCAATCACTCATTTAAGAGTTTATTGATTGGATGTTAATATAATAAAATAATCAGTTCCCCAGGGTCAAAACTATTGTTGGAATCAATGGTTGTGTGATAAAATCTTTTGTTGAAGGTGGGAAATTTGTTCACCATTACCTGTTTACATGTGCATGTGATTAACAAGTGTTTGTAGGAAATAATGTGTTATATTTTCCATTGTGAGTTTCAAAGACTATTCAGGGTGCGGATAAGAGCCCAGACAAAAAAGAAAAATCTAACTCTGATGCATTATTGGCAGAAAGTGTGCCTCCTGGTGAGGCCTCTATTCAATGTGATTTGTTCCCCAGTGAGCTCACACAAAATAATCATTGTTCACATGGCCCAGTTTAGATCTACTAAATAGGCGAATTAGACTTTTTTATTTATTTATTTTTTGCACATTTCTAGCGGTAAGCTCTAACTCACTTTGTAATCATTTATGTCCTTAAACAGATCTATTCAGACACGATCAATACAATATTTTATTGAATTATATATTATACCACTTTTTACATTTTTTTATCATGTGTCATCTCCTGTTGAAATATAACTAGCGGTTCTAAACGTGTGTTTGGAATGGGCTTTCTGCTTGAACTGTGGTGATGCTGGTTGTAGCTTTGTTTCTGAAACAGTGACCTGCAGTAATTGAGCCACAGCAAGTAAAGCTTGACTTCTGGACTCAGTCTGCAGAACCCTGAGGCTGCTGCCCTGCTGCGATGCACAAAGAGCCGTTCACCTGTTTATTCAAAGTTCAGTAAAGCTGGACTAAGTACGCAGAACTCTGAACCAGAGAAATATTTGACGTTGCTGTTTTTATGAACAAAAACTCAATGTGGCTGATTCTGGCAGAGTTCAATCTATGGCAGTAATGAGGGTGCACATACAAAAGTCACTCTCACACGCAACAGATTCTGGGTAACAGGTTAATGAACTGGAGAGTGAAAGATAAGATCTCACATGAAGGGAGGAACTGCACTGTATGCCACAACTGCAGCTGAGACTTTGAGGTCTGACTGTCTGCAAGGACGGTAAGAACATTATGGCCCATGTAGCGCAGGCACACAAAAACGCAAGCAAGCGTTTGAATCTTTGGTTCATTATCGAACTGTTGAGGTCAAATTAGAATATGTCGGGCCGCCACAGACTACATAATTATGGGAAACACTGTTAATGGGCACTGCCAACGCTGCTACAGAGTGCTGGTCACCAGTTTAAACAAAGTTAATTAATATTGAAGGTATCTCATGTCCAAGTCAACACTGCACTTCCTCAGGCCCTTAACAACACAAGTAAGTTGAACAGTTCTTGAGATATCAGCCTCATACAGACAGACAGAGATATCAGGGATTACTGCTGTGTTAGCACTTCCTGTGAATTACAGCTTTTGATAGTTAAAAATTGAAATTGTATGAAAAGATCAGTGGATTAACAAAGATGGACTATCTGGTCTTAGTAAGAGTCTTTCTTTCCTCTCTATCTCTACCTCTCTTTCCTCAGCGAGTGTGCATCTACACGTCTCCCCTCACTATATTGGCCATTAAAAAAACCTAAGCATTTCATTACAAGTATCGAGAGCTCCCACTGTGCCATTAAAGCCAGGAGCCGGCGTGGCTTTCTTTCTTAGAGATACTAATAAGTCCTTTATAATGTCACCGCTAATAACAGAATCAAAGGAGGGGATGCATGCGAGTTTGTGTATTCTAGTAATACTGATGTAATCGCAGGCTCAAGCCCAATTAGCCTAGAGGGTAACTCTGTAATAATCCCTACCCCTGGGCATAATGGCCTATTATAGCAGCAGTGGACAGAATAAATGAGTGTGTCTGTGGAAAGAGAAAGAGCAGGAGAGAGAGAGAAGAGGAGGCAGGAAACAAAAGTGAGGGAGGAAAAGGATGGTTGAAAAGAGAAGATAGGCTGAATAAAAATGGAATAAAAAGGGCCATTGAAAGCCTACTTGTTTAAAGTGAAGTTTCATGTCTCAGTTTAATGTGTTGACTCTGCAGCAGTTGCAGAACTCCAATAATAAAACAGCCTGTCAAAGCCTCAAAATACAATTGTTTCATCATACTTTCATTTAACAGTTGTTATAAATATTTTGAGCGACAATGGCAGATTTGTTAATTGTCAGTCACGTCAGGAAAAACAAAGAACCAATAGAGCTGCAAGTATTCGTAGTGTGTTCGTGTTTTACTTGTTGGAAACCCTCATCTGCTTATCAGCGCTGTTGTGCTCGAAACCACATGAATCGAGATCATTGTCGAGACAGAGACACCATAGAGGCAAATTACAAATGCATGATCTGTAATCTGTGTTACTATTTTGTTTAATAGAAGATCCATACATGATCTAAAATGCTTATCATCTTTTCATAATATAGAAAGATGAATTATTTTGTTTTTATTGGTTAAATTGACTTCACAATTAAACAGTTTAATGTCTTTGTACGACTCACCTGTTAATAAGTCCACCTGGTTGTTCGTGTTCGCCTTCGACACGTTGATATGAACTACGATTTTGCCATCGTCTAGGGAGATCTCCAGCGTGCCGTCGTCAAGATTACTGAAGAGGAGGAGTCCGTCGGGGTTCCACGTGCGAAACTGGAAACCCACAGATAATGTGTTGTGATTGGCTCGTCCAGGCAGCTGCAGGAAACTGGTAGCGTTGAAAAAGACCGGGAAGGTGTGGGTCTCCACGCAGGAGAAGGAAAGGTTACGCTGTTGAGATTTAGAGAAAGAAAGACAAAGAGGGATGACAGGAAGTCGTCAACTGCTCTTCAGTTAGAGAAGTCAAGAAGTGAATCCCTTGAATGTTGCCTGAATGTTTTAAATGTTCAAATCCTGGATTTATTTACCACTTTTAAAGTGTCTGCATGTTTCAATTGACTGAAGCTACAACCAAAGACTTATGCTGCTTGTACACGTTACTGAAAAGTGCCATGTTCGTCTCAATCTGTCTCTGAAGCCGGGGTGAAGTTTGTGTGCAGAGGGACAACAAACACAGTTTTGGAATTTAGGCACTAATTGTCATTGAGCTTCTCCAACCCTGTGCTCTTCATCAAATCATTAGCAAACGCACAATATTGAGCTGCCGTACCAAGTGTAGATGATTCCTGATTGCCTCCCGTTGCATGAGTGTGTATATATATGTGTGTCCCTGAAATTTGAGAGTGGGTCTGGTTTGATTAGAAATGAATGACTGTGTGAGTCATCAGAGGGAATTAGAGGTGCGGGCCTTAATGAACTTGATTAGTGTCTCCATTTGTTCAGTCAGTTCATCAGAGATCGATGATGATATAATGGCTCTCCACTGCCGATAAGATTTGGGGAGACTTATGCATTGTCTACACCACTGCTGGTATTTATTTGAAGGGATATTTTCCCCATGGTTAAAAAAAAATGGCGTGATGGTGGTGGCGATAACGTTGTGGTCCCAAACATACTGGGTGTTGCAGATGCTTTTGGATGCTGGTCATGTGGAGCTGTGTTGCTTAATGCAGATACAAACTTGTAATTGGAGCTATAGCAGTTCTAACCAAACATAGAGGAACCAGCATTTAGCTGCCATTGCTGGCAATGGTAGGCAAAGCAAAACTAGTTAGATTTGCAAAATCTGCATATAAGTGTGGACACAGCAAAAATATTTCTTTTGTAAATAATTCCAAGTATGGGAAAATACTTGATGTGCAGAAGTTACATCCAGCCATCATCTACAGTGCTGTGTTTGATGAGGAGAAGCGAGCAAGCCTCATTCTGTTATGATAGGTTCAAACCAAACAGTGGACTTCAGTCTTTGTAGGCAGCAGAGGAGAAGCAGCCCTGAAGTCAAGAGGGAGCATGGAGACGGGAGGCAAACACACTGATGGTTCAGCTGAATACAATTAATTATGAATCTGCTAAACTATTTTGGCAGCAGTGAATAATTTGCCCCCTCACTCGGGTCGAATACAGAGCTGTTGTGACAATAATGAGCATGTTCGGTATTCAGCACATTTCCCTTACAAAGCTGGAGGTGTCCAGCTTCTTTCGGCGGGCCAGGTCTGTGATGTTGTCTCCATTGTAGTTGATGCTCTCCATGCAGCCTTTAAAGTTCTTCCTTCCGCCACCCACTGGTTTCCCACTGTATGGCATCCCTCCAAAGCTCAGCTAGACAGGGCGCAAACAGGTAGAAAGAGATGGGAGAAGGAAAAAGGACATTACAAATGATCATATAGTGTTTTCCTGTAGACCTACTACAACAAACATTTTTATATTCAGAAATATTATATTCTGGCATAACACACAATCAGGAATTACAGCAGCAACATGTAAGGTGAAATAGATTGTGTGTGTCTGTGTGTGACTATATTCTATGTCATGTTTCAGGGTTTCTGCAGGTTTCAGCAAGTTCAATTTAAGAATCTTAAGAGCATAATTAATAAAATTGAAGACCTATGTAGAGTGCGACAGATATGATGACATATCAGAATCCTAGAATTACTTACACTTCAATTTATGATAAGGTGGAGTATCCTAATAGAGAAGAACCCTTGAAATGTTTTATCTCTCGCAACTTTATCTCCTTGTTACTAGTTTTACTACGGTGTTCCAATATCTGTATGATACGTTGAGCGAGAACTGCAACACATGGAGACATCACGAACCGTGCATTCCCAACAACATATCTATTTCTATATTCTAATGTGCGACAGAAGTAGCGTTAAATGAACGTCAACATAATTAAGGTCCATTAAATACTATTTTAACATATGTAAGATTTTTTAAAGCCTAAGACTCAAATGATTAACTTTAAAAAAAAAAAAAAACCTGCTAGCATTTTTTAATGTGGTAGCATCACACTCTGCTTGTACAAGTACTGTAGCGCCACCTTTAGGCCAGCGTGATTGAATGCAGGGATGTATAGACAAGGTCACTCTTGCTTTTCTACATAAGACAATCAAATCCCCCAAACTGCATCTCAAGATGTTTGGTTTGCATTGGTTCGTCGAAGACAGTACTGCCAAGTCATCCTGTTTATTTATAACCACACATTTGGATATCAGTGTATTACCGATGTGCCTGATGGAAGGGAGGGAAAAACGTATTAAAAGAAGAAGAGAACATGGTGACTCGTGGGGAACAGATGCGATCAGAGGAGGACTGAGGTGAGGAGATGGAGGCTAATAAACAGACATCTGGTCTGAAGCACAGAGGGACACAGAGCTGATGAAAATGTAAAGTGAGTTTCATCTTTCAAACTTTTTTTGTTCAAGTGTCCAGCTTGTTTCTTTTCCTTCAGCCATAGCACTGAGTTCTGAGGCAAGACAAGATGATGGAGGGTGGTGTGCAATTAAGTGTCAATATGTGACTATCTCAGTGTGTGTGTGGGTGTGCATGTTTGTATGTCTTTGGTGATGCTCCACTAGTCTTAGTAATTACTGCCGAGGGTAGACACAAATGCACCCTGATATTCAGTCTACACAAACACACACACACACACACAAACACACACACACACCATGACGGAGTGTGTAGATGAGATGGTGTAGAGCAGTAGAGTAAAAGCCGGCTACAATTTTGCTATCTGCAGAGAGAGAGTCAGTCAATAACAGTGTTGAGATCCAGTCTGGGTTCAACACATGCACACAAACACATGCATGCACAAATGAGCACACACACACACACACACAACCTCTTGGTTCACCCTGTTGTATAGATTTCCCTGAAGACCCCTTAATTCAACAGCTTTAGTTTAATTGGACAGTGGTTTGTCCTGCCCCATTTCTCAGTATCCTACTTAACACTGGAATAGATCAGCGATATCAGCAGTACCTGCTAAAGGTCACACTCTCACACACAAGCATAGGAATATAAACACACACACAGCATACACTCGTATATGGATTTACCAGACACTCACTCACACACAAATGCTTTCCATACCTATTATGCATTCCAAAATCAATTTCCTGTTTTAAGTATTATTAGCGGAATGCTTTGCATCCCATTACTGACTGACATTAATTATGTGAGTGTCATGGATTAGCATTATAGTACAGTGTGAAACCAGTATCCAATTTCTTTTGTGGTATCAATGCACTGTAAAGGCAGAGGAGGTCAAGCTACCATCATTAGTTGTTTAAAAATGCAGTTGGAAAGTCAGTGATATAATACTAATCTAAAGTGAGAGAAATCTCACATATATATACATAATGAGCAGAGATATACTTAGGCTGACATTGTCTCTCACAGCGTTGAGATAATTGGACTTCAGGTTTTTTCTGAGAACTGTTAAGATACAATATTCTGAGCATCAGTAGTCCCCAAGGCTCTTAAACCAGAGTTCTCAATCAGAATCCTGGATGACATCAAATGAAATCTTCATCACGTCCCTCAGATGAATTAACCACTAGATTTGTGGGAGGGTTTTCAGATATTTCAACAATTTAGCAAGAACTTTCAATCTTCAGGAGTTGTACATACAATTTTAAATCAGCTGTAGTTCAACCCAAGCTGAAAATTTTAAACTGTGACACCTACAATCCATACAGTTTTGGCCCTGTATATAAATGACCTTTTCTTCTCATCCATAATTTACCCTCAACTAAATTTCCTCTCTTATAGTCTTCTAATCATACTTTATAAATGATTAACAAAGACAAGACTAAAGTGATGGTGTTCAAACCCAAAGCTCAGCAGGATTGTATGAGCTGTATCTTAGTTTCCCAGGGTTTGCAGTGCAACCATGTGACCAGAAATCTGGGAGTCACATTTGATTTATAACTTTTTAATACATAAAAACCAAAAATTTAAATATCTCTCAAATTAAGTCATTCCTTTCCTTCAGAGGAATCCCCCACTTGTACAGAATCCCCCTGCAAAGGTTCTTTCAAGAACTAGAAAATATGAGATACATTTTTTGCCTAACTCCTCTGGTTACCCGTGTTTTTCACAATTGATTTTAAAATTTCCTTCCTTGTTTTTAAGTCACTGAGGGACCTTATATTATCGACCTTCCCACCTCTTACTGCCCTGCTTGTACTCTGCAGACAAGCTCTTACTCTCTGTCTGCAGAACCAGGAAATTACCAGATAGACTTCCACCTGAGGGAAATTGCATAAGGACTCCATTTGTACTACCACTGCCTGCAGGGAAATGGGGTAAAGTACGTGATGCTGGGTTAAACAAATTGACTTGACATAATGTTTGCTTCTCTAAAGTTAAATGAGAATTTGATTTACCAAGTGCACATTGTGTCGACCTATTAGTAAAGCAGGGTCTTTAGCAGTAACTAAAATGAACATATTTGTTCTTTAAACATCTTTGACATTAGGTCACACACATTAAGGCATCACTCAGAAACAACTGAGGTAACTGAATATATCAGCCGACATTTTAGTTATGCACATATTCCATGGTCCACCGGTTTCTTTTTCACTAATTGAAGTCACACATGACCTATCAGTGTATGGCTGTTGAAACATTGAGCATTCAAATGAGTTTTTATTAATTTTATGTTGAGATGATTTGTTTTATGATATGTTTGAGCAGCAAATATGATTTTAACAGTTGTACAAATGGCATATTTCCCAGTCACCTCCTGTATCTGTGTTTAAACACATATAAACGTGTATTATTAGGTCTTGTTATCTTTTTTTTTTTTTTTTACATTCCTTTAAACACAGTATCCCTTTTCCCTCACCTCATAGTCCAGATCGAGATGGTCAAACTCTCCGTTGGTCCTGAAGTGCTGCGTGTGTCTGTCCAGGGTGAAGTTGACGTTGCGACGGTAGCGTTCGATCACCACTGAGTGCCAGTGATTGTCATCCAAGAGGCTGCCAGTGGTCACAGAGGTATGACCCAGGATAGAGCCGTACTGGTTACTGCCTGTACATAACAGGTTATAATAGTTTTAGCAATAAAACACAGACTGTAAATGACTCAAAATGTGAGTAAAATATGACGGAGCAGTTGAATATATTTTTCCAAGCAAAACACGAAATAAAAAAGTAATTTTAAAATCCTGTGTAAAATGAATAAACACAAAATTCAAATCTTTGGAAGATATTTGCTGAAGTAGAAATCATTCCAGAGCTTCACAAAAGGAAAAGTATAGCTGCTGAAGGGTTACCTCAATGTGTTGCACACCTATTAACAACTATAACATGTATGCAAGATCATCACTCACTGTTGTTGACCCAGATGGGTCAACAACAATGAGTGATGCTCCACACACGTACTGATTGTTGTGGCTGCTGTTTACACTGTCAAAGCTACAAAACCTACTCTGCAACAGCATATGCATTTGTAGAAACAAGAATTACAAGCAGATTACGTTTTCTATGAGCATAGTGAGAATATATTCATACTATACACTCTTGATAATTCACATGTACAATGAAAGTGAATCAGTAAAATCTTAACCGTCAAAATATCTGATCTTTCAGTGAAATGCCCAATTTACAGTATTATACTTTTCATGATAACATTTAGATGCTCACAGCACTTGGTTCGGGTTAAGGATAAAGAGCGGTCTGGTTTAATACAGAAGAAAAGATACAATTTGGGGATTCAACATTTAAAACCAAACCATGATCTTTCCCTAATTTTAAACGAAATGCTTAAATTGCCGAGACCCAACCAAAAAACAGGGACTATGTATGCTCGGTTCGTTTACTAATCAGAAGGTCAGTGGTTCAATCCCCAGCTCCTGCACTTTTCATATCCATGTAGCCTTGGCCAGGAGAAGACACTGAACCACAAATTGCTCCTGATGGCTGTCATCAGTGTGTCACCGTGCCACCAGTGCGTAGCTGTGCCATCTGAGTGAATGGGTGAATGTGACTTTGTGTAAAATGCTTTGAGTGGTTGTTAAGGCCAGACATGTCCCATATAAATGCAGTCCATTTACAATGCTGCAGTTTAGTTGCACTCCATTTAGCATGTTGCACTTAAAAGGAATCGAACATAATTTCTAGGTGACAGGGCTGCTTGACAGACGTGGCATAAATTTGATTTCAAAAGTTTAGGGTTATTGGCGAGCCATAAAAGATTGTAATAATCACACTGTCAGTGAGCCACAAACTCAACCAGAGCAGCTGCAGGCATTAGACTGAGCACCTATTACATCCGACCAACAGAACAAACAGAGGAGAACTGCTCTATTTGAACGTTTTCACAAAACCTGTTACTGACAAACATGCAGATATCTATAGAAAGACATTTATGTATTGCTCACCCAGGTTTATCTGCAACAGCAGCTTTGCCTTGTCAAGTTCCAGGGTGATGTAGTCTCCCTGCTGTCCTTCCCCATGGAGGATCACACCCTCGCTTTCTGACGTCTTAAACCTCAGTGCAATCACATCCTTGATGATCTTCATCTTCTTCATCTGCACAAATGTTTAAGTGACAAATGCAGAAAAATGTAATATTAAACTTATTTTTTTTTAACAAAATTTAACAAAAACTTAACGAGAGAACCAAATATGCCTGTGTGTTTTCTTAAAAGAGGTCTCCACGCTGCCTGCTCAGAACTGACATTAAATGATTTATTCCAAGTCGTATTTTATTGATTTATTTTACGGTCTAACCTTCATGCTCTAAAATGACTTTGACCACATGACTTAATGGAAAAGTTTTAGTCAAAATAACAGAATCAAGTTTGTAAATCCAGCACCTTAAAACGATACGAGATCACACCCTGTCCATCGAAGTTGATCACATCGGCCCCTGAATAATACGGACAAACAAACAACAGAGATACAGAGAGAGAGAGAATAAGAACAAGGAAAGACAAGAGAAAGAGAGGAAGATGTTGACAGCGGGAGACAAGCAGAAAAAGAAAGGGATTAGTGATCGAGTCAAGTCTGAAGTCATATCTGTCATCCCAAACTGACCAAGAGAGACAGGAGCCAACACTTTTATATGACCTGGAAAAAATAGCAAATTGAGTTATGTCAACAACACATTCAGTGTTATTCAGTTGATTCAATAAGGTTATTCAGCTTGTTGAGTTGTTTTAATATGTAAATAATGCGTGAAGAACCAAAGGGCCTTTTGAAGTGTACTATTTACTGCTTGTGTTTGCCATCTGAGATTGTAGGAAGTTAAAATTGTCAGGTTCCTATAACTGATATAGATTTTGTTTCAGATGATAATGTACCCGACATGTTGACATGTCGCTGAAGCAAACGCAGAGGTGTAAATAACAAAATCAACGATGGTGAATATCATTTAGCTGTTTTGGTTTCAGGGCCCTGGTACTGCACATGTTGTCCCACTGGAGCACTGCTATGGCTTTGCTGTGAAATTGAATAAAAACAGAGTAACCATTAATATTAATACTTATACCTGTGCTTTAACTACTACGACAAGTCAAAATGTGGAAAAGGCCTCTAGCTAAAAATATTTTAGTGGATTTAAATTTATGCCAAATAAATGCAAAGAGGATGCAGATTCAAACAGCACTGCTACGAAAATGGCTCTGACTGAGAGGGGACATATGTTGAAAGGAAATAAACATTTTTCATAGCAAGTTGTGCATCAGATGGGTTCTGCAAAAGTGTTGGAAATACTTTGGTTTCTTTGATCATTCGTACACGGGAACCACTTAAATTTGAATGGCGTGAATTCAAATGTTTTTTTTCAAATTAAGTTATTTTTCAGGCAATTAAATATGATCCTTGCAAATATTAAAACTAGACCCCAAAATTCTAGGCTGATAAAAGTTCAACCAAAGTTCAACCTGAGCAGAGATCATGACAAATAGTTTTGAAAACATCTGTGTGGGTGTGGAGGCATGTTAAACACTTCAACTGCTTTTAGACTGAACTCCAGATAATCCCTGAAATTATTCATATTATAAAGGCTGCATGTGACAACGCACGTCAGAATCAGCTGCTCAATCCTTTCCAATGATATCCAAGTTGACACTTCGTACCTGCGATGGGTGTTAAACTGAAAAACAGCTGCCAAATAAGCGAAAATGTCTTGGAAAGATAATGCATTCAAGTCCATTTGGATATAAGGGTCGACGCCAATGTTGATGTGCTGTAAACAAAAACAAAAATACTTTATATTTACATTGGGAGCAGGTCCTCTCTACTGAGGCCACCATGTTTTTTACAGTCGTCCAAACTGGTCAAACTAAACACCTTTTTAGTTTCCACGACAACCGAAGGCTAACACAGGTTATCATTCATGTTTGGGAGGGAAGGGTGAGGTGAGAGGTATTTAGCTGCAACATGCAACTTCACCACAAGATGTCACTAAATTCTACACACTGAACCTTTAAAAAAACTGTTGTGAATTTACAATAGACTTTGACTCATGCAAGTATGAGGGTTTTACATAACAGAAGAGTGAGATGCAGAGGGCAGAGAGGACACATGCAGGGTGGAGGAGATTTTGTGAAGATGCTAAGAGCAGAAATAAAGTGCAGTGTTTGAGGCACTCTTCAATCTTACTGCCGTCACCCCAGCTGCTCAAGTGGATTGTGGAGAGGACGTGTGTGTGTGTGTGTGTGTGTGTGTGTGAGATTGGTTAGTAAAGGAAGCAAAGAGTATTCAGGATAGGATAACATGGGTTGGGAAAGGGACAAACTCTTGCACAGTCACGTTGCCGCTTCAATCTTACGTGCTCTATTGCTTCCACACACACACACACACACACACACACACACACACACACACTAAACACTTTGGGAGGGCGGGTGGTGGTGGAAGTGTGGGGGGTGGTTGGGAAATTACATCTGTTCCCTTTGTTCTAACTTCAGTGCTTCTGAAATGATCTCACTCCGCCGCTCACTGGGTACAAACTCATGCCTCTCCGCTCTTTCTCTCACACTATTTCTTGCTATCACTCTCTTTCCTTTTCGACTTTCTCCATTACTCTCCTCTCTGCCCCACTTGTCAGTTGTTTAGCCTCCATCCTCATCCCTCCATCACTTAATTTGCTTTCTCCCTCCCTCTCCTTGGTTCTTTCAACCCCACACCTCTCATCATCATCTTGGGTCAAGGCGAATGCTGCAAACAGTGGGGCCAGCTGACAGTTGTCCAATTGTTTTATGAGATCTACATCTGGGTAGTGCTGCTCAGAAAATGCTTGCCAGCTGAACTAAGTGCTCGACGTCAGGAGGGAGGACTTTATGAAGGATGCAGGCCACCGGGTGATGGAGAATATAAAACATAAAGAGGGAGGAACGAAGTAGTGATGCAGAGTAACAGGGGTGACGACTACTATGTCTCTATCCAGGGCAGCTGTGATGGTGATGCACACGACACGGCCAAGCTTTTCAGACCCTGACCCAGGAGACCATGCCATTTTGGACCCTGACCCAGATGGTGCTTCTCCAGCAGAGATGAGAAGCACAGGAGGGTGAACAAGATATCCAGATCCATGTGAGAGCCAATGCAATCTTTAAATAGATGAAACTGGCAGTTAGTTTTATCAGAGGCTGAATATTAGAGTTTGATTTCACTGACAAACCCCCAGACAAACCGTGGGTAATGCATTATAATTTTGCATCATTTGAAAGTAAAGTGTAGTTCTGGATAGAATTATATATATTACCTATGCAGTTGTGAGCACAGCCGGATTACCTTGTGGCCTGAGAGTTGTTTTGTGTTGTGAACATTCAACTTGACCCATGATAATACAGGCCCTTGATAATAAAGCAGGCAGGAGTGGGCTACTTGATAATCTTGACAACTTTACTCACAGATGAACTAAGTGGCCAAGTGGCCTTGTGGTTTGCATGAGGCCTCTGAATTACCATGCAGCCTGAATTATTGTTTCAGTTGCCATTAATGGTAGTATATTTAATACTGTATATGTATGTCCATATTCATTTTTCACTTTAAGATATCAAATGCTTATCCTGTTCTACATCTTTACTGCAGATGTCTTTCAAACTAAATGCAACTTCTGTGTCACTTTAGATAATAAATACTGATAATTGCTGTATTCTGCTGTTATATAGCAACAGGAGGATGGATGGTCTGCACAGCCATAGACAAAATGTAAACTAATGGTTTTATGTCTGCGTTCATTTAAGGTCCGGGTACCCGGAGTCATGAGAGAGACACTGAACTGTATGACATCAGCCTCTTACAAACACATGTATCACTGTTTGCGTCCAGCACATTATTTTTGCTAATCAGCCAATTTTAAGTGACACCACCGAGTTGCCACCTGCGAGGCAAACTGAAAGTGCAATTAACTGGCATTTAATAGTGCCAGTGTTTAATTGTATTCACGGCCATAGGTTTCACTGCACAGGCGGCAAAGTAATTGGCTGGAAGCAAGAAAAAGGCAGGTTACTTGCAGGATGAGCGACCTTTGCTTAACTTTGAAAGGATTTGCCTGCTTTATATAACTGGAAACTGAATATATTTGGTTGGTTGAACACAATATTCAAATTTTAGATTTTACCCTGTGCTTCGTGTAAATCTTGTCATTGTTTTTGTTATAGAATAATACAAAAATGAGTGAAATGTAATCACTCAATTACAGCATAATGAATATAAGTGTTCCTCCCAGCACTGTTTTGTGATATTATATTCATGCCTCCCTTTACCTCATACATATTGCACCCCTGAGCCTGAAGACAACAATCCTCTTTCAGCTATTTATGTGTTTGGCCTCGGTCCGACTGCCAAGATAGACGCTATCCATAAACAAAATCTACATAAGTACATTTCTAAGACTCGACAGATGACGGTGATACATCATCCTGACAACAGATCTAGAGTACTGTTGGCATAAATAGGCCACAGGTTGAAGTCAGATTTGATACGCTTGCCTCCTTTTGAAATTCGACTTGCATGAGAGTGATTGAGTTTGTATAGAAAATTAAATTTGCACTCTATGTTTCCGTCCGACTCCCCTTTCTCTCGCACGTACTGGCTCTACTATTTCCTGACTCATCTATGAAATAATTGATTTTCTGTTGATCCTATGTTAATCAAAATGGAAATGAGCATGTATATTTCGCAGCACGACGGATCATGACTCCTTTATAGCCTCTAGCTCTGGCACAGGCGTGCACAGGCACACACACACACACA